TTATAATGTTAATAAGTAAGTAGGAATCGAATAAGTAACCAGGTAATCGAATAAGTAATCAGAGAATCGAATAAGTAATGCCCACTTAGTATGGAAGTGAAACGGTTGAATACATCATCAAACAGCGTAATAATACACAATGTACTATTTGAACCATCCATTGTGTTGATAAGTAATCAGGGAATCGAATAAGTAATCAGGGAATCGAATAAGTAATCAGGGAATCGAATAATTAATGGAATAAGGAACTAGGAACTAGGAATCAACTTCATGGAGGTGAACTGATCTACATTCTAAACATACCATATCTGTTTCTGAAATGTTGTCTATTTTAATAGTCTTGACATAGGGAAAGCAGATTTGTGCGGTGCTCAAGCAGAATATCTAATAAACTACTATGAATTTAATCGACCTTGTAATTGTTTTAGATTACAAATTGAATTGTGTGCGTTTGTTGACAATGTGGTAATGTGGAGAGTGTGTGCTAAGGGAAGTAACTTTAATTCATACTGATATTTATCCCCCCTTATTCCCATGTGTTAGGCTAAATTAAAGTCAATGGGTAACCTGTTGTAGCCTGTCTCATATGTAGTTTCATATTTGATAAATATATGCTACTTCTCCTGGAGCGGCTACATCTTTGATCAATTCAGTAGAGATCAGTAAATAGACATTGTTATACGTAGCAGCTAGTCTTCCGAAAATTAGCAAAACAATTGAAGTCTCCTAAATTTCTATATATAGCTAGAGATTTGTTTTTGAACAAAAACATACATGAATGTTTCACTTTATTTGCCAATCATGTTTCCTCTTTCACCTTCGTTGCATAACAAAACAAAGAAAATCAAGTCAAACAATCGTTTGGCTACAACTAACACATATTTAGATTATGACAGGAACTGCATTTTAATAGATTACATAATGCATTAATGATACAATGAAATTAAAAACTTTTGACGTCGAAGTTCACATTACCTTAATGTTTTAAATGTTACAACTGAAAAGTTTGCACTAATTAGACCTTTGACCTTAAGTTCAATGTTACAGAGACATATTGAGAGTGCATCGTCTGTTAGTGATACAGATATACTGTAATATTCATAAAGATATCTTTATAACTTTAAAAGATGTATCAGACTAAATGTTACTAAAAAGTTTGCATTTATTTGAAAATAGAATTATGGAACTTTTTGAATTATCTTTAAGGTTACTCGACACATCGTCATCAGCGGCCATTTTCATGACGTACTTCCGAAAAAAGTACAGCGGACCGAATATTTCCAAGCGAAATGTGCCCATACACCGTAAAAAGTAACTCTCCAGCTTTGAAAAATACAAAAACATACTCAATCACTTGAACGCTTTACAATAATGTCGTTTTCGCCACTGTTTTGAAAGGACCGAAGAAACACTGATTGTGTTACGTTGCTAATGTCCACAATAGCTCTAGAAATGGACAGAGATAACCACGGCAAATTCACTTCAGGAAACAATGTCAGTGAACTGGACAATAACCATGTGCACCGTGACCATGCATACAGTAAATGGAAGTTTGTTTAGCATGCCAGTTATCGAGACAATACAAATACCGGTCCATTTCATATTTTATCAGTATAGCATATGTGTGATCGTAACGTGACCCTGTGCATCAAGCAAACAAAATATGGAAAGTTAAACCTTTTTGTGCTTTTGTTTATATAGAAATGAGCGGTATATAGTTGTGCTATCTTGATATCACTGGGAAAATATTATGAAGCAGTGGAAAATTATATAAGTCCAAAACAATACAATCTTTGGAGAATTATATCATGTTAGGCCCTAGATATTTTATAATGCATTTGTTCCATGTGTATTGTTTAATGTTCAATTCTACATAGAGTTCATAAACCCAGTATTTATTTAATAAGATAAGAATATATTACAGTGCCAATATCACCTATTCTACACATTTTTGAATGCAAACAAAGCATAATCAAGTGCATATTTGACTCCAACTCCATGCTTGTTGGTAATATGTTTTTAATTTTTGCTTTTTGAATATTTATAGTTTCTGGTGTGTTTGTGCCAAAACATCAGATTATTTGTATCATATTTATTGTACTGTTGCTAATATCATCAATGTATATTGTTTGTCTATTTTGAAACATTATAGTTATTTGTTATAAATCATTGTTTATTTCATTTGGGGAAAAAAAGGTTATGTTTTGGAAAGTGCACTGGCTAAAACTGCCCTATGAAAAAAAGTTCCTGTTTAATCAAGAAAGATAACTCTCAAAAGGAAATTTCAATGTCATAATTGTTCAATTTTGAAAATATCTAATTGATTATTCATTTATCATTCAATTTAACAGTGTTCATTAATAGTATGATATTTGTAGAATATGTTACAGACAAAATTATACATATTTAACCGTCAGTTTGGGAGATATTCCCGTTTTTGATGTTTTTGTGTTATTATGTTGAAAAAAGAAATAGTTCCAAATACAATTTTGAAACTTTTTTTACTTGTCCTTATTTGTTACGTGAACATGCATAATTATGCAGCCTCAAAAAAGTTGAGAACATTTTATTTTGGAAAATTGGCATTTTCCATGGTTTTTGGGGGAAAAAAATGATGAGCTTGCCGGATGCTATACTAAGGTCTAGGAAGTTATTGGGTAATCATAGGAAACACAATAGTTAGATTTCAATGGTTTTTATCCATTTTTTCGTGGTGTGTTGAGCCACCTTAAGCCATGCAGCATACGTCCTAAAGGAGGACATGACGAAAATATGTCTGTCTGTGTAGCAATATATAGGTATTACAGAGAAAAGTATTAACTAATATTTAACATACAATAGTAGGTATTCCCCAGAAAATAAACAAAGCCTAGCTACAGTGTAATAAAGTCATTACGTAAACGTTCTTTATGATACAAATGCCCTGGCTGATTGGTTAGTTTCCTGTGAATTGTATTTTTATTCGTGAGAATGACCTACTTCTTTTCAATCCAAACACATACAATGTACCAAAACGTCGACTTTCATACAAGTTTAAACAATATGTTCGATGGAAACATTCTTGTTGGAAAAAAATCAATATCATCATTGACTCGCATGAGAACATGGAAAGATCCGCAGTGGTAAAAAAGGTCCCGTTCATTGTTTCTGTATAATACCGACCACGGGTAAACAATGGTTCCCCATTCTCGTGCCAAGTGACGTCACAACCGACATTATACCAATCGCAAAAAACAATTCATTTCGTGTGTCTAAAATATATGACGAGATGACTTAACACAATGAAAACGTAAATTTCCAGAATCCAGGTTATGTGCTGGACTTTTTCATCTTTCGCTGGTATCTTTGAGTAATTTGGTGTTCAAATGACAATCAGCTTGCGATGGCGGTATGCAAGGGTAGTTTGTGGAAGAAAAAGGAAGGTTTGTATGTCATATGATATGTCATTTTCCCCCGTTCATATTGGGGTTTAGATACTCGTTTATACAATGCAGAGAATAAAGAGAAACAAGACACAATAATAACAAAGAACATATACATACTGAAGCGCTAAGCAGTCTATGGATACACTATAGGAATAGGAGGCATGGTAGTCTAGTGGTAGGACTCCGGGCTCGTGACTGAAGGGTTGCAGGTTCGACTCACGGCATGGCACTGTGTTAAAATGTATCTTTGTGCGTGTTCCAGTCTTCTTAGCTGTAAATGAGTACGTGGTTGGGCAGTGCTAGAATTGTAGAAAACTAGTTGTGAGCGCCGAAATGGCAGCCCCGACTGTATGCTCCCCAGGGAGTTGAGAAATATATTGGCTGGGTGCAAAGGCGCTATAACCACGGATAATAATTCATGAACCACTTTGAGACAACCTACGAACTAGGTTGTAATAAAGCGGCATATACGAACCTCAAAATGTTATTATTATCATTATAGTCATAGCAATTACCGGTGCTCGGCCTTCATACCTATTGTCTTAGCGATCAGATCTAGCTGATAAGAGAAGCAGGGTCAGAGATAAAGCGTTTATCCTTTATTCGGTTTGGTTTCTTACAATCTTACAATCACGTAAATTTACTAGGAACCACAATGGCGTTTATCATTACATTGACATTACTTCTAACTTTGACGACTTTCTGTGAGTATGACTTTCATGTCTACTGAAAATACGATAGCGGTAACAAATAGCATTTACAAACTCGAATTATATCAAAACAACACTGTCACCATATCCTGTGTTTGTAATAGCTGCATATACACTAACGACTAGCATATCTCATTTATCTGTTTTCAACAGCTATTGAAATTACTAGGAATCTGCAAATAGGGATTAAAAAGAGGTCACCCTTCAGGAGCATCTGGTTTGTCTACATTTCTGGTGAGGATTGGATTCGTAATATATTTCCTTTTGTTTTGGTTTCTCCCGATCTCCTTTATCCTTTTGTCTATTTCAAATCGTATTTTTTTTCCCCTTCTTTTTTGGCGATGTTCTTTAAAGCAGCAGAGTATTACTCCGCTCCAGAGCAAAATCTTTAAAATTTTGTATTATTGTAAATTTTACTGTCAATGACAGAGGTCGGGCATGTTTTACTTTGCCCTATTGATGACATGTTCTTCTCTCTTTATATAATAAAAAGAACATGAAAACAAATACAACGAGTAAGCTGTGTTGCCTCTTGATATATTTCAAGCAAAATCTGTTTTCATTCAATAATGTGTTAGGTCGCAAACGTAGAACGTATTTAGTTTTACAAACTATATGTAACTGGTCTACCTAGGCCTCATACGGTTAAAGTTCCTAATTAATCACGTTGCCAAAAAGAATCTGTCAAAATGTCTGCTGGTTGCTGTTGGTGAAATTTCTCGTTTTGATTCAATTTTCAATACATTTTATTGTCAAAAGACAAATGGATTGGGCAGCATGCATAGCCTATTTAAGCCCTCTCGATACACAGTAACAAACAGTGGTACCGCGTATAGACATAGACACTAGAACACATACAAACACATGTAAACAAGTTGATATTATCAAATAAATAATCAAGTTAGGGGAACAACTACTAAATCCTTTTTTCATTATATAATTGAATATAATTGTTTAAATTCTAACCATTTATTTTGACACCGAAAAGACACATTAAATATATACATATTATTTTTAAGAGAAAAGAACAATAATTTGGTTATTAAGCGGTATGTATAAACATTTGATGGAATTGTTTTGTTTCAGCGCCTTCTTGTTAGCTTGTTTGTGTTTAAGTCTTTTGTAGTTCCTGTTGATACTTTTATGTTTATTAGGAGCAGTCGCATAGTATTATGCAGACCGCTGACCAGGTTAATTTAGCATGCATGATATAAATTAAGATAAAATAACGCAATGACGGGAGAAGAGATGCTCAACAATATAAATAAAAGTCGCCTATTACTGTTACTGTTAGCGAGGTACATTTTTTTAATTCTTTTTAGGGGTAATGAAGACGTTAATTGAAAATCAAGTTGCATAACAAGGAACTAGAACTTCCATATACAATAACTCATGTTGGTTGAACGACATCATTATCTTAACATAATTTTTAAATCACAATAAACCATGATATTCATAATCAACAAGGAATATCATGTAGATATCACAGATTCCCATGCTGTACAAATATGGACGATACGGACGATCCTGTCGTTGGAGGATGATACGTCCTGTCTATCTCACCTACAATGTTTTGTATACAGGTGAAGCAGAATGTCCGGATGTTTTCGTGTTGCGTCAATGCATCTCACCTACAATGTTTTGTATACAGTTGAAGCAGAATGCCCGGATGGTTTCGTGTTACGTCCTGTCCATCACACCTTCAATGTTTTGTATACAGGTGAAGCAGAATGCCCGGATGGTTTCGTGTTACGTCCTGTCCATCTCACCTATAATGTTTTGTATACAGGTGAAGCAGAATGTCAGGATGGTTTCGTGTTGCGTCCTGTCCATCTTACCTACAATGTTTTGTATACAGGTGTAGCAGAATGTCCGGATGGTTTCGTGTCGCGTCCTGTCCATCTCACCTACAATGTTTTGTATACAGGTGAAGCAGAATGTCCGGATGGTTTCATGTTACGTCCCGTCCATCTCACCTACAATGTTTTGTATACAGGTGTAGCAGAATGCCCGAATGGTTTCGTGTCGCGTCCTGTCCATCTCACCTACAATATTTTGTATACAGGTGTACCAGAATGTCCGGATGGTTTCGTGTCGCGTCCTATCCATCTCACCTACAATATTTTGTATACAGGTGTAGCAGAATGCCCGGATGGTTTTGTGAAGCATGGCGGATCCTGCTACCATGTTGTGCGGATAAAGGCGACTTGGCCCGAGAGTGATGTAAGTATGGAAAAACAAGGTAAAGAGAGTGCATATGTATTAAGATTGACGTAAAAAGATATGGATGTAATCAGATTGAGGTAATTTTGTAAATATTATTGAAAGAAATGTAAGTATTAGAACAGATGTACTGAATGTAAAATATCAGACGTCCTTAGAGTTAGGTAAGGCAAAGCAGGGGTACTAGTCGTGACGTACTTAATACGTCCTTAGAGTTAGAAAAGTCAAAGCAGGGGTACTAATCGTGACGATTTTAATACGTCCTTAGAGTTAGGTAAGGCAGAGCAGGGGTACTAGTCATGACGTACTTTATAGGTCCTTAGAGTTAGGTTAAGCAAAGCAGGGGTACTAATCGTGACGTTTTTAATACGTCCTTAGAGTAAGGTAAGGCAGAGCAGGGGTACTAATCGTGACGTACTTAATACGTCCTTAGAGTTAGAAAAGGCAAAGCAGGGGTACTAATCGTGACGTACTTGATACGTCCTTAGAGTTAGAAAAGGCAAAGCAGGGGTACTAATCGTGACGTATTTAATACGTCCTTAGAGTTAGGTAAGGCAAAACAGGGGTACTTATCGTGACGTATTTTATACGTCCTTAGAGTTAGGTAAGGCAAAGCAGGGGTACTAGTCATGACGTACTTTATAGGTCCTTAGAGTTAGGTAAAGCAAAGCAGGGGTACTAATCGTGACGTATTTAATACGTCCTTAGAGTTAGGTAAGGCAGAGCAGGGGTACTAATCGTGACGTACTTAATACGTCCTTAGAGTTAGATAAGGCAAAGCAGGGGTACTAATCGTGACGTACTTGATACGTCCTTAGAGTTAGAAAAGGCAAAGCAGGGGTACTAATCGTGACGTATTTAATACGTCCTTAGAGTTAGGTAAGGCAAAGCAGGGGTACTAATCGTGACGTATTTTATACGTCCTTAGAGTTAGGTAAGGCAAAGCAGGGGTACTAGTCGTGACGTATTTTATACGTCCTTAGAGTTAGGTAAGGCAAAGCAGGGGTACTAATCGTGACGTATTTAATACGTCCTTAGAGTTAGGTAAGGCAGAGCAGGGGTACTAGTCGTGACGTACTTAATACGTCCTTAGAGTTAGGTAAGGCAAAGCAGGGGTACTAATCGTGACGTATTTAATACGTCCTTAGAGTTAGGTAAGGCAGAGCAGGGGTACTAATCGTGACGTATTTAATACGTCCTTAGAGTTAGGTAAGGCAAAGCAGGGGTACTAATCGTGACGTATTTAATACGTCCTTAGAGTTAGGTAAGGCAGAGCAGGGGTACTAATCGTGACGTACTTAATACGTCCTTAGAGTTAGATAAGGCAAAGCAGGGGTACTAATCGTGACGTACTTGATACGTCCTTAGAGTTAGAAAAGGCAAAGCAGGGGTACTAATCGTGACGTATTTAATACGTCCTTAGAGTTAGGTAAGGCAAAGCAGGGGTACTAATCGTGACGTATTTAATACGTCCTTAGAGTTAGGTAAGGCAAAGCAGGGGTACTAATCGTGACGTATTTAATACGTCCTTAGAGTTAGGTAAGGCAAAGCAGGGGTACTAATCGTGACGTATTTAATACGTCCTTAGAGTTAGGTAAGGCAAAGCAGGGGTACTAATCGTGACGTATTTAATACGTCCTTAGAGTTAGGTAAGGCAAAGCAGGGGTACTAATCGTGACGTATTTAATACGTCCTTAGAGTTAGGTAAGGCAAAGCAGGGGTACTAATCGTGACGTATTTAATACGTCCTTAGAGTTAGGTAAGGCAGAGCAGGGGTACTAATCGTGACGTACTTAATACGTCCTTAGAGTTAGATAAGGCAAAGCAGGGGTACTAATCGTGACGTATTTGATACGTCCTTAGAGTTAGGTAAGGCAAAGCAGGGGTACTAATCGTGACGTATTTAATACGTCCTTAGAGTTAGGTAAGGCAGAGCAGGGGTACTAATCGTGACGTATTTAATACGTCCTTAGAGTTAGGTAAGGCAAAGCAGGGGTACTAATCGTGACGTATTTAATACGTCCTTAGAGTTAGGTAAGGCAAAGCAGGGGTACTAATCGTGACGTATTTAATACGTCCTTAGAGTTAGGTAAGGCAGAGCAGGGGTACTAGTCGTGGCGTACTTAATACGTTCTCAGAGTTAGGTAAGGCAAAGCAGGGGTACTAGTCGTGGCGTACTTAATACGTCCTCAGTGTTAGGTAAGGCAAAGCATGGGTACTAGTCGTGACGTACTTAATACGTCCTCAGAGTTAGGTAAGGCAAAGCATGGGTACTTATCGTGACGTTCTTAATACGTCCTTAGAGTTAGGTAAGGCAGAGCATGGTTACTAAATATATAATATCAGGCGTCCTTAGAGTTAGGTAAGGCAAAGCAGGGGTACTAGTCGTGACGTACTTAATACATTGCGCGTACTGACTTTAATAGAAGTAAGTTCATAAGTGGTGAGAGGCATGGAAGATGTAGTTATCAGCCTGGTAAATGCACATAGTAAAAGATATCACTCCAGTTGAAATTCGTGTTGGTGCGATTGCATGTTATGTTTCGTTATTCCAGAAGCAGAAATTAAGAAAAAGAAAATCATTGAAGAATGAATACACAAAATTGTTCATGAATAAAAACTTATTTTAGTAAACAAAAGTACCAGCAATAATGCATGTAAAAAATGATTCAATTTGCATGCAAACTTTAGTTAGAGCTACTCGCTTTTCTCTTTAACTTCAGTTTGTGGAAAGGTATCAGGGTGTTTTAATTCAATCTTGCATGATGTCAATATATTCCACAGGAATCGTTTTTATCAATGTCTTTGTAGATTTACTGCCATGCGGTAGATGCAGACCTTGCGACAATTGAAACCCAGGATGAACAACACTTCATAGAAGGCCACTTAATAACCAATGCAGGTGTTGTAATGTAACCGAGCTCCAGTCCAGTGTTGATATGGTTGGATTTACTACGCTACATGCCAATGCTTAGAGAATGAGATAGGGCATTTAAGTTTAGAGATTTACTCCAATGGTATTAGAGTGAGAATCTGGTAGTGAAATCATATTGAGCTACCTCGCAACAGATCAATGGTATTAGAGTGAGAATCTAGTAGTGAAGTCATATTGAGTTACCTAGCAAGAGATGAATGGTATTAGAGTTATAATCTGGTAATGAAATCTTATAGACTTTAGTTATCTAGACTAATGGTTATAGAATGAGAGTGATTCATTGTTAAGATAGTATGGTGTTAAATACGTACAAATGCCTGATAGGTAGAGTAATGTTAGAAATTAATCTAGCTGTTGACCAATTATGGTAGAATGAGAAGGTGATAAATTTGTCTTTATTTTGTGTCTAGAACTGGTGTATGGCACAAAATAATTGACTGATCAACATGACGCGTTTTTCAGGAGCATATGACCCAGCTAGGTTTTGGATAGGTGGCAATGATATTGCTGAAGAAGGTACCTGGGTATGGCTCAAATCTAAGACACCTATAAGTCACCAAACGTACTCCAATTGGAAAGACGGCATTGCGCTACCTCTAAGCGCGAGAGAAAATTGCCTGGAGCTATCGCAACGGTATCACTGGCAGTGGAATGACAACAATTGTGACGACCATTATTTCTTCGTCTGCGAAAAAGAGTAAGCAAGGAATTATAACAAATCGTTCTCCAATAGATTAGTTACTAGAAATACGAAGTACTGGAGCAAAAAACCATTACTCTATCCATATGAAACAAATAGTATTGAAAAATGCCATGTCAAAGTATTCCTAAATGAATATGTATCATTTAAGAATGTTCTATTCAGTTTCCGTGTTCGCACAAGACATCACATCACAAGGGATAACTTCGCTTTCGTTGCAGTGCCTATAAGGATGGTGGAATCGTGATTGGTTGAACAGTCCAAGCTGAATATCACATCCGTAATATATGTTTCAATTCATCTATAAAAACTTAAGCCAATTTTGTATTTTAGAGTTGTTTTAAATCCATGTTTAACGTCCTTATCAACTACAAAACCGTGAAGAAAACTCCGTTTTATTTCGTACATACAAAATCTTTTTGTCCAATACACCGGAATCGTATGAACTAATTTACATCATAAATACCTAAACCGATATAACCATGTAATATACCATATTTGGTTGCCAAATGCGTCTCTTTTTTACATATCTTTACATAAATAAGGTAAATGTATGCGGTGCGCAAGCAGATTTCATGTATTCAATGTTTCTAGTGTGTTTTAATCGATACTGAATACTAAAGAGTTGACTGGCCCCGTCGATAAAATATTGAATTATTTAGAACAAAGTAACTTAAATGAGTTTGTCTGATTCGAAATGAGGGGGTGATATGCTAGCTGTAAAATGAAGGTAAGATAATCTTCATTTAAACCTAGGGTCTGGTAGCCATCTTAATTACAGAGATGAAAAATAGTTTTTAAAGTATTGTTTACGCTTTTTGATAATGTATTGCGTTGTGGTAATATGGATATTTCCTTATTTTTTTAGTAACGAAGTGTGTGATATGGGAGGCAACTTTAACTAATCCACACATTTGACATCATACCGAGATTTATCTCCCTTAGTTTCCTTGTTCAGTTGATCTCTGATAGTTTTGTATTTAATATATCGGCAAAACAATGTTATTTCACGGAGCGGCTACGTGTGTGGTCTACTCAGTTCTATAGCATTCTAAGTACTCTGAAACATGGTAGCAAGACTCGTATAAAATTAGTGAAAATTTCGTTCATGTTTTCTAGTACCTCGAAATAAATTTATCTTACTTTTAGAACAGACCCATTTGCAAGACTAAACACATTATTTTTTCAAACCGTTAGTGCTCTGTTAAGTTTTATCATTTCCCGCCAGTTATAATTGGTTTTTAGCTAATCGGTAGTAAGGTTAAATAGAGTTACGTTTGAAATTCATATAAACTACAGAAGCATGAACAGATATTTTAAATAGTTTAATATTACTAAATATACGATAAAATTTGCATAAGAGATCAAATTAAAATGCCTAGTCTTCGTCCGAGACCACGTGGTCCCAACGACCATTGTATTCAAATGGACCAACGGACTTCTGCACGCACGTGGACTCGAACGAAGTGCCGAATGTGTCCACTTTGTTACCGTCCGGAGGCAGTGCCGGCTGAATACGGACAGCGTTAGGAGATCCGATGCTCGGACACTCTGTGAAATAGTTAAACGGTAACAGAAAAAATGTATACTGGTTACCAGTTATCGAGTTGGAAGGAACGTCCTCCGTGTGTGGAATGTGAACTCGCCCCATTGTCACCCAGGCAACTAAATCTTCGTCTACTATAGACTCATTGTTCAATAGAAATCTATCGAAGTCTACCACTGGTTGCCATGGGTCATTCTGGGCGTAAATAGATGTGGACATTTCCTCAGTGTCCTTGAACTGTGTCACGGCAAGAGGGTACTTGGCCCATCTTGCGGCGTTCGCAACATCGGCGTCCTCCAGGAAAAGATCTGAGATTGCCATGTTAAATATCCTGTAAGCTCGGTTTGATCCGAATTTGCTTGTAGCGTACCTGTTGTAGATGATATCAAACCTCTGTTTCGACTCGCCACCGGTCTCGTATATCACATCATTTTCTCGTTTTCTGTCTACTTTCTGAAACCCTATATAGGTGTGGTTTCTATCTCTGTACCACTGGCTAGACTTCGTTATGACTGACGTTTCTAGCGTTGCATATCTATTTCGAGGTCCGTTAATATCCAGATCCACTTTAAAATGAAATAAATGTTGGTGTAGCGTACCTATAACAAACTCGTGTATTCTATAGCCGAACGTCGACTCGTACGGCAAGGCATACGTCGTTTGTATATAACCGGTCTGTGACACTTTCACTTCTATCGCACCATTTTGATGAAAAATGTAATCGAAAATAAAATCATAACTCCATATACTAACTATTGTTCTAACTACAAGGTGGTTGTCAACGAGCCCACCATAACTTTTAAAGCCACCTCGTTTGTCACTCTCGTAATGGCGTCGCATTGGTATCCCGCCATTATTTTCAAATATGCAAATAGCATTTTTGAATTTTCGCGGTATGCTGGTATCCACAAAATGGTGCGTGTCTAAAAAGACTGCAGTATCCGGGCAATCAACACCAGGGACCATCTCAAAAGCCAACCTGCCCATTAACATGCTAGTGTCGTAATGAACAGTAGAACTTTGAGACGGTCCAAATCCAGAGTACATAACAACTGCATCCTGTAATGAGATTTCATAGACAATACGTTCCTCCTGGAATCGTACATCGAAGATCTGCAGTCCTGTCGACGATCGCATGTGTACGTGGAAATCCCAATCAATATATTTCACATGGTTGCCTACTACCATGTATCGCCTACCGTTTGGTTCGACCAATTTCGGACCTTGCGAAGGCACTGCGTTTGTCTTCCCCCTTTTTACATACGAGGAGTATAGATGTTCTTTAAATCCCACGGGATTAATCGTGATCTTTTTAATTTGATTGTCTAAGTATTTGTCCATCAATTCCTCCACCGAGTAGAAGAGGAAGCCATTGTAAAGGATCCTAGCGACGTGCCATTGTGCGATGTCCATAGACTCGTGATTTATCTGGATCTCCAGTCCAAGAGGGTGAAGGGCAGAACCCTCTATGTCACGGAAGGCCCAGAACCATGTCTTGCGATCACCGCTCTTCAACCCTCTTGGGGCCGTGTCCTTGAATATAATACAATCCGCACCCTTTGTACAATTGTGATAGGCCATATTGTAACTGTCGCGCAGAAGGAAATACAATTGTTCTCCCACCTGCTCCAGGTGTTCGTACAGGGCTTTATATTCTATTTCACTAACAGGACGGGCGGTGAATGGTACTCGTGACCTGGTATACGATGGATTCGTTACGTGACGGGCATACGTAGGTCGGGGAATGGGCCCCACGTGATATTCCTCAACGCGAGGAGGTCGAAGATCACCGCGGAATATCACGACCTTGGCTGTCCGAAGAGGCTGTCTTCCACCGCGATCTAAATTCTTTAAAACGGCTGCCTTCAACGGAAGCAATAAGTCAATCATAAAAATGTAACTACTGTTTATTGTTGCTGCGTCAAAAGGCATGAGATTTAATTCTTTTCTGGAGATTAAGTAATCCCTGACAGTTTCTAACTCTGACACTGTCAGTTCGTCGAAAATTTCTGGTTTATCGAGATTATTTGGAATTCGTGGAAACCCATGATCACATATGGGTGCTCTCTGGTAAAATATGCCCAAGACTATCACGGTAGCCAGTAGAATAACAGCAATACACGTGCTGACGACCGCGAGGGCCTTGAAAATTAGAATCTTTCTGTCACCATTGACGACCTCCACTTCCGCTTCCTCCTCTTCCAAATCGTCCTCATTGTTATTGGGGGTGGCTCCATATTTCACGTCATGTTCGACTTTGATATCCTGGCTGATGATGGACATTTTAGTCTGGTGTCATCTGGCATAGCCTGTGGAATAAATAAACATTAATTAACACCATCGTTATGGTAAAATGTCGACTTTGTTTTCCGCCAAAGCTTGTCGAATAAATCAGCAACGAATCAATATTTCTAAATGTGCTGCAATGTCAACTTATACTATTGATGATGGTACGGTGACATATGGCGTTGTATGCCATACCCTGTCAAATATCAATGTACACGGAATTATTTGTACAGTTCTTCTTATTGTCTTCCATGATGCATCTATCGAGTATTTATACAAAGAGCAATGCCACCAGTAGTTGGCATCTTTATCAAGCTTGCATATTATTAGGTACCGGACTTGCTGTGTATTTTTGTTAATAAATTACTTCTATCTCACCTCACTCCAGATTTCGTGTTCTGATTATTTTAAGTAAGTGCTTATTACCTTGTGTCTTGCATCGCTCACTAACAACTAGTATTATATTCCTTATAATCCGTTCAATTATTGAGATATATAAACATTTGTTAATAAAAACAGCATACAACTCACAGACTACATGTATGCTTATCTCTACTGCAAAATCAGATGAACCAACGTGGCGTACGTGCATATATACGTGCAACATCCATCAAAATTTGATTGGCCGAAAGAAAGATGTGTTGCTATGAATACTACAAAAACAAACTATGGACTTTTTATTGAATCAATAAAACTTCTTATTCAAAGAAAGATTATATCAATGAAAACCATTATACGTCTCGACCGACTTCTCCATCGGCAAAAATAAACAGGGAACAGTTAATCCTTATCGGACTTAAACCTAGCATGATTGAAATATCTATCCCTTCCATACTGTTGAAACAGCTTTTCTATTTCAGGCACACTGTATACTTGTTCTTTTTCAAGAAAATATTCATTTAAAACTACCGAGGGCTCGGTGTATACATTATTATTGATGGAATATGCATATAATATTTACACATATATACCAACACAAGACTATACTCCCATCGGTGGGTGATCTAAATCATAAACACATCTATCGAACGAATCCTCACTAGAGTCATGAGTTCACTGGCACCCCAGGACGACCAACTCCTAGAGCATTACCCCCGGAGAGAGACAACGTACCTTGGGATTAGTCCATCACGTGTCTGATGTCAGAGAGCACCACTTGCTACATCCGGTTGGCATGGTTACAGATATATCTGAAATGGAACAAAATGGAAAATATCAAGATAATGATTTAAACCAGGCAGCATTTAAAGATACGTTATGATAAAAAAAAATACACAGTACCTGTAATGTGTAAAACGTAACATCATGCCGGAACTACTAGTCAGGAATTTGAAGCATAATAGGTGGTTTAACATAGTCCAACATACCAGTACACACAGTGCACCCAATACATGTATACACACATTTTTCATTGAGATGCGTAAAAGAGTGTTTTGTCTCCTCTCGCACAAGCAGTCAGAGCATACCAATCTGCAGTGGAAACACCTGTAGGTATATATATTTCAAAGGAGTATCATGTCGAAATCTTTGCGAAAATAAAAGCAAATTTGTAGCTGATCCGTGTACTGGGTTGACTAGGTGCACTGGAATCAAACCTGATTCACAACACGTGTCAGGTGGAACAGTTAAAGCGGAGATCATGTTTAATGCTCAAGCGTCTTTGAACAGGAAATATTACCTCAATATGTTGTACAAAACTTTCCGAATAAAATATTTCTGTTAAACAACAGCAGCATTTTATTTCCACATAGCTAAGATTAATCATACATGTGGTCAAAGGAATACCAATTTGCTCAAGGGATATGATGTTTAGTTGGTTAATAGATTACAGCATCCGTATAAGTTTATTTGTGAAAAGCCATGCGTAGTCTCTAGAAATTTTGTATTCTTGATAATTAAAACATCACAGCATGACGAATTTTTACAAGATTTGTTATTAAAAGTTCGTTAACAAAGCAATGTATATATTACTATATGTCAATTTCATAAAATGTGTATGAACACTCGGTGACATCATGTTTATGTATAAGAGGAGAAGTTCGTGTCTAGAGGTAATATTCTAGTATTACTTGGGTATATACATTCCACAAACGTCATGCATTCCACCTAGATCAGTATATGTAACCATGCGTGGTACAGTGGAGTCACAGGGACACTCTTTATAGGCAGCCGGAGCTAGTATTCTGTGTAGTTTCGTAGTTTCGTATAAAGAGAAATATTACGTAGTTTAACATACAGGAAACGACAAGTATGTCATCACGTCAGCGGTGTGGTCGATTATAAAATTACCAGTAAATTAGGTTTGCATTTGTTTCAAATTAGATTCTTTGAAATTGCATCATGTTTAAACATTCGTAAAACAAATCTGTTAAGGTACAAATTTTCGATTTTGAAATTAGTTTAAACGAGACAAATATTTAGGCACGGCATTATTATGTATATATCTTAACTACTGTAACTGCCTTAACATAATAACCCTTAGACTGACAGGAAAGACAAAACACATTGCTACCGTAAAACATACATTGTATAACATATATTGATGAGAGAGCGCCTAAAATATTAGCAAACCTTCACAGGGTATGATCGTTACACGTGCCACATAGCTAGCTAATGCAATGTGTCGTAAGGAGAGTGACCCGCCGCATTACTTTATAATATGCATACAACTGCACCACTACACTGCTCTCCATCAGCAAAACACATGTTTGTGTCATTGCACCAACGGCAAAAACTTCATGTTTTTCTTTATAAACTTACAAACTCACAGACATAATACGATATGCCGAATATTTCTCTTATGCTGATCTATTAGCAGGGTGGGAGTTGTAATAACATACCGAAGTCTGCTTTGTCTAATTAACGAGTTATCAACATTCCGTTGTCTAATCATCGAGTTATCTATCTTCACGGAGAATCTCCCGAAGCAGGCGGCCGTATTTAATTATGATAACACAAGGCTTAGATAATACAAAGCAGAATCACATGAACTTGATCGTTAACTTATTGCTCCAAATTTCCATATACAAATCTTCGAATACTGTATGTATGATTACTTCATTTCAGGTACAATTCGCGAGCAGTTCAGATTCGTGGTTACATTTTGTTCTTTAACAATAATGACTTACCTTTTTGTAAAATCTTTAAAATGTATTTATGAATAATTTTAGTATTCTACCTACTCTGTTTTATGTGTATGTTGATATCTAAGAGATCATGTACAAGTGCAATTACAAGCAAAGACAGCAAAGTACTAACAGCGTGCTCCTATAACATGGTTAAAATAATCATAGCAGTAATAGAACTACAACCTGATTGTACAACGATATCGTCATTCTTTAAACCAAGTGAACGTTCCTAAACCTAAACCAAACTGCAGACTAACGTAGTTTCAATAAAGACGACGCCATGTCTGATGTTGCGTGATTTTTGCATCAGTTCATGTATACAGAGACTAGAAAACCTAATACTGACTCCTACAGAAACTCATATTAGATTACAAAAAAAGTACCTATCGCTTCGAAAAGTTTAGTAGAGTCAAATACAGCATCTGGTGTGTGTTATAGTAACCATTAACACAGGCTACTACACAGTTAAAACATATGTGCAATCTGACTGATCATGATATATGTATACACTAACGGAAGCGGAATTTGTCTAGGAAATATAACATAAATGTGTTCGAAATTGTTACGTAAATCATTAAGTTTTCAAACATCCATACCGCGGATGTCGACAGTACTTAGGGTGGTGATATTACAGAAGTCATTGTGATACTCAGAACACACAGGAAATCGTGTTAATGGTTGTGAGAGGTACACGTGGATGAAGACTGGTGCCCATGGCTGGGATTCATTATCCAATTAATTTTCCACTAATGCCATATTATAGAGCACCTGTCCCCACCTCCGTATCATCTGGTTCCGAGACAGCAGACTAGTTATCATACTAACGATCCGTTTTTGTAGATTGAACATTTAATTTTGTTGTACTCAGCAAAAAAGTTCTTCGTATTTGATACAAAACATGACAGTGTGTATTGTTTGCATCGATATTTAGTATTGTGTATTTAAGTTATTAAATAGACTTCTTCGTAAATTTAGTTCGGAAAGCTGAGAAAACGTTACGAAACTTTGTGTTAATTACTGCATGTATATTATCGTCTTGTAGGCAGACCACTTATAAGTCTGTGTCTGTCACTCTGCATCAGAACCTATGAAGTTTCCGAGAGTGTAACACTGATACTGTGTAATCACCATCTGGCAGCAGCAGCAGCAGACTAAAACACTAACGTCAATCTGACAGGTGAATTATGTCGAGAAGACCTTCACGATTAGGAGAGGGCTTTTTTCTGAGTTGTTTGGGGGAAGCATTTTAAAGTTACTAAAGGTGCATGCATGTTGTATAACTATGGGAATATGTATATTGGTATAACATCTGGAACAGATTGTGTACTGATTTAACGGTTATAAAAGATGCTTTTACTGTTGCTGGATTCCAGAACTGCAAAAGATGCAATCCAAGTCATTATTATACTGTAAAAGTATTTTTTATAATAAGAGTCTGCTATTTCTGATCATGATTTCAGGAAACCGATTCACACACCGCAGCGTTCCTATTCTCATTGCTTGTTTGTAATCCTGTCCAGAATTATTTTGTATAAGTCTTCAGCTATGAACACTCATATGCATATGGCAGTCGTCTGATTTTTTCGCTTTCGGGTCTCCTAATATACAATATATGACGTCATATTTGTAAACCGTAACGATCATAACGATAACGATCATTATAATTTACAAATAATTAATGGGTGTATCATTGTCGTTGGGATAGGGGCACACGACTATTTTTCCTTTTTAAATTGTACAGTTGTCATAGTTTCATAAACTCCGTGTAATAAACAAGCATGCTTATAAATTGCTAGTTTAAAGATTTTGTTGGTATATCTATGCAGTTGCAAGTTTTCTGGAACCCGTATTCAATCGCACAAATGCTCCTTGAATTGGACAACATTTTCGCATGTGTGAGGTGGAGTTGTAATCGGCCAACGTTTAAACCGACATTTTTCATGAATGAGAGCAACATTGATCATGTACGCAAGTTTTTTGCTGGTCATAGTACATCTTTATTTATCTTGGTCATTGTTACGCAAGAACTAAGCATTACACTTCAAACTCAAGTATAGTATTTTTATTGTTTTCTTGATCCAAAGGGGACTGACAAACAATATCTTGAGTGGGGTATTTGCACTGTATCTGAAATTAAATAGATTTCTATCGTTGTAGAAAAAAAAGTCTGTTGCAACTAATTTGATGTGCTGGCACTTTCCTGATATGATAGATTGTCTGCACTATTACAAATTTAGACTAGAAACAATTATCATGTGTTTGGCTGTTATCACTAGATATTAAATCCGTCGCCGTGATAATGAACTAATTCGAATTATGTCCCTGCATTAGAAACAATTGTGGTGAAATATTATTGTGGTGGCACATCAGCTGATGACGCATCCTGGTTCAATGTTCCATCTGTCGACACTACAGAAACACACCAGTCAGGGTTGTCATCTCACCAAACAGCGCACGTTACCACTTCATCAAACTCGGCTGTATATATACTGTATATAATACTAAACACACAATGAGTGTAATACAGACACCAGATTATCAATTCCACTGTGATTTGTTTTGACATTAGATAAATATTTACGTTTGGTCATCTGTGTCGCTCCCTTCTAACCCAAATCTATAACATGCCGTTCTATACAGAAACAGGAAACCCGCAGGCGTTTATAGCCATATGTTCATTAGTGATTTAAGCTTTCATTTTTTATTCATTTTTTTAATAAAAACTCATAAACCCGTTATAACTGGAACAAATGTTATGCTTGGCGGTTTTGGACATTTCGTTATATATTTCTCAATTACCGATCCAGATTCCCAAAGTAGCTCAAACGTTTATCCCACATTTGTCAATATATCTGATAAAGTTGTAAGGTAGAAATTTTTGTTTTTGCAAACCTCGATCGAGATTTTTATTAATTCATTGGCAACGTGTAAAGAAGTATCAAAACACTTAGTATATACACTGTATAAGGACACGAAACTCGAAGGAATTAGCTGTTAAATAAAAGTATAGTTATAATACATCACCACTAACTCACAGCTTTATCCTTATTATTTCTACAGACAACAAAAGGAGATTAAGTAAGAACTAACTACAATCTTCATTACGTAACGCAAGCTTATGTCCAAGAAAATGTTAGTCTTTTGGGCAACACACATTTGGACAAAATGTTATGCATGTTGATAAGTATAACACAACACTTGTCTCGTACTTGTCTTACAGTTATATTATGAAATATGTCATGAAATATGTCATATATCGTGCAAAATGTCAAACGGTATTACAATTTGATAAACTCTCAACAAGGCCCTATCAAGATGAAAAGGTATGCATGAAAATGCCAAAAAATAGTGGTTACAAGAACTTTGTAAATATTTGGACACTAAAGCGAGAGCTGTACTACAGGGCATTTGACCGTACAAAGGTTTGGAAAAGTAAACCTGTTTTTTTCTCACTAACCAGAATAGTCAACAAGAACCAAATCCAAGTCATCCCTGAACATCGAGTCTAGCGTTTTAACTAACATAAGCTTTTCCGATACAGCATATGTCATTCTCCCGCTTTGGATATCGGAGAATGCACAAATGAATAATGTTTAAGATGAAATTGTAGTCATTTGTATTAGATGACATTTATTCAATCACGTGTAACTGATGAAAAATATTATTATAATATATAATTTTGATTATTATGATATATAATTTTGTTATGTGTGGATTAAGTATGAAATATACATGTTGAATTAAAAATATGAAAGGTGTGTAAATTTGCGTTAAATGATATGTTCACGTACATATAACTTTAGTAGTATATAAAAGTCTACTAACATAGGGTTTTGTCGAATTAATGTAATCATTTGACTCGTGTACAATCGAATGAATATTATTTCAGAGGGCTTAGCAGAAGATTTCTGTTTCGTAGCATTTGTTATGCTCACAGGTCAACGTTATTTTGTGTTATACCATGAATGTGTGTATCAACAGTGTTGTATGTTTATGGTACATATGTCCAAGACCAACACGAGAGCTCAGCGCACACAAGTGCACCCTGTAAATCTGGTATAAATTATAGGGTGGCTGTTATTAATTGATTACGTCATGATAACAGATGACATGTGTCTAACACTTCCTCATAGACTGATAAGAATCGGAAGTAGAAGAAAGGATGACCGCGTGTGTTGGACCCGTAGTTTACATATCAAACTGAACTTAAAGAAATATAGCATTTGAGACAAAACTCCAAACTATTCAGATAAGGTAGATAGTAAACTTTTTAGATACTATAGTAAACTAACATTGTATAATGTTTTGTGTATATACAGGGCGACATTATGCCTTTTATATAGAACTGAACTTTACACTACAGAGATGTTTTTATCGAACAATACTGCTGTTCCATTGAGATATGCGGCTGATTAAACAGATAGCTCTGCATATGAAAGATGAAAACAATTAAACCCATTATCTTCGGGAAAGACTCGTATGCGTGTGGTTCTCGATCATGGGTGTGGTTCCCAAACAAGAGGCGAGTTTGACGTGGCGGAGAGCTGTATACCCAGTCGAGATCATGTATTTACAACATTGTAAACCTCGCTGGTATCTCCAAGACACGTGTATTTTTGCAATGGTTATGAATATTAGTCATCAAAGGAGGGTTTGTTACTAACGAGTCGGGAATGTTGTCTTACACTAAATTAACACAACATGGTAATGAACTATAAATCGTCTTTTAGAATTCATAGGTTGCCAAATATTGCATTTCGGGGTCAAAACGATAGTCCTAATTACACATATCCGGCTATTTATTGATAAATGGCCCGGGACCATGGTAACCTCGAGCGTGATACAAAACAGCTGACGAATCCTATTGATCCTCAAATAGGGTTTTTTATCTGATGGAATCATTCACATATGATATTCTATCGATTTTTCCATAAAAAAGTACTCTGTTGACCGCAATATTTGCAAAGTCGAGTTATAGCTGTTGTATGGATATAAGTCACTGGAGCATGCAGTATTGAGTGACTGTTTATGAAAGGTCAAAGAAAGTGTTCGCAAATAAACGACACGTGACGATCTGAAGCCGTTTTCTAACACGTATAGACGTCATTTGTTCAATAACAATTAGTGGAATACATAATACGATATCGAAGGTCGTAGGTGATTTACGTCGAGTCAGGGCTTTCGGTGCCACAACTGCGCGTATTTTGAACTTTCCATACAAAATGACAATATCTGCAGCGTTGCCCGGTTGATTTACAGTACAGTTTGAACCATAAACAGTGAGTGCTCCTTTGTTACGGTGATACACAAGCATACTAGGCAATGCAAATTGTTCAAAAGGATGGCTCGTGTCAAAGAAAAATATTTAGAAGTAAACCCACACGCAGGGCATCTGTCACGTGCGTTCATCATCAAAGAGGACCATATATCCATAGGAATATCACATGATCGATTAGTGTACTGACCTTCAACACGTACTTGTTTAATATATATATAAACGTGCAATATCGTATCCAATACACAGCATTACTTATAACAAGACGCATAATTCTATTGACATAACATACAAGATCAATACTATTGTGATATCCTGACACACACGGTTCACATTATCGACACGGGTGATTGGGCTGTAGGATTAGGACCAGAAATAGTCTACGACTCATTGTTTTTGGAATATGTCTACGTTGATTAACCATCGTCGCTGTTGAAATGTAAACATGTTGTCATGAAAATCAGAGAGGTATGGTTATGATTTATTTGCAATGATGAGGTCATTTAGGAACAGATGTTCTCCAGTCATTGATTGCCTAGTCATTCTGGCAATTATCTTATTACGGTCTTACTAACACAATCAAAATAAAACAAGGCAAGTGACATACCCCGTGTGGGCTGAAGTCCCCAGAGAATTATCAGGTCATATATACGTTAAGGGTTATAGTTCAGGACTACTGACAGACTACCGTCACTTGTATTCAACGAGACATTGACGATTCGGGACTGTCCTAGAATGACCAGTTACAACGTGCTCTCACAGCTTGCAATGCCATTATTTCTAATAGCAGTGCCAGTTGTATACAGGACATGATACCAGACAGCTTCATTGATCTTTATGTCATACCGACTGCCACATGCAGACAGATTCTGCATCAATAGAAAATATGGCTAAATATCCGATCGATCCGTTCCAGTTATAACATAAATATGCCATTTTAGAAAGCCATCATCTCTTCTTCTTTAAAACAGCAACAGTCAGCTTCCATTACATAATGAAATTACAAGCAATATTCGATTTATTCGACATTATTTTGTGTACATACAAATACAAAAATGTAGTTAATTTCTTGTTTCAACTGCCATTAAGCTGTATAACACAATAGACTACGGTTTTTCTCTTAAGTAGAATATTGCGTAACCAACACGGCCTGAACAAGGGATTTATATTGTAACACGAAGAAAATGCTGTAGACTACACGTGACGAAGGTGTCCCCATGCATCACCCCTTATACTGGTACTATGCACGTACAGCTGTGTACCCACTCCCCCACCGGGACCGCGCCCAGTGCATGTTACACGTGCTACACATACGTGTTCATGTTTGTTAATACAGTGAATCATATATACAGTCCAGACAGCCGGTACGTATTAGATGTATTGCCATAGAGATTTGAAACTCTAAATCACACGCTTCGTTTCAAGGGTCTTTGGTAGATGTGAAATTGAGTGTGGAAATAAAAAGTGACACATTGGCAGAGCTACAATTCAGGGCAACACAAACGCTATCATATTATACCAGCTCTCGCTTGCACGTGATATTTCAATTAATAACATGGAGTCGGATATATATAGAATGTATCGTATGGGTCGTTTATTTCCGCTGAACCAAGACGGCCATTTCTGGACATTGTCAATGCTTAGCAATTATCACAGAAAGAGTTAAAAAGAACGATTAACTACATACGTAGTGTATCTATAGAATAATTCGTTATCGGGTTTAAATTGAATAAGAATAACACTTGAACCGTTGGTATCGATGGTACACAATGCAATACTGGCCAGTTTTGACAAGTGCTCTAAGACAGGGATAATAATCAAGATGATATAAGTAAATCATCTGGGTTTTTTAACATGAGATATATTTTACATTGTCTTTTAGCTAACATTATATGCCATGTGACGCTTGTTTGCTTCGTGGCCCCATTAACGATCATTTAGTTCCAAATATTTATGTTTTTAGGTCTCCTTATATAAACAATTTCTTAAAATAACATATTTTCAATTCGTTATTGTTGGGAAACAAAAATCTGGCCTTAAATGATGTGAAATAGTAATGTTATTTCAAAGGCAAAGTGGCAATCGATATTATACCAAATGCTCCTGTGTTACAAATATGAATAGTTAATAACACTCTACGTTTGATCAATGACACTCACCTGTACTAATGAGATTCGCACCTGTCCTGTGATGACCCCACCAAAGCTGGGTAACCGAACAGAACACGTCCACAAGTCACGTCCCAACCCCTCATTCACATGTTACAGCACACACTTGTGATAAAGGGGTGTGAAGTAACACGCTCCTGACACCATGGCCTCTCATTCCTCGTGTGCCGTTCCCGATCGTAGCCCAGCGCCCGGCGAGGCTGACAGCACGGGGTATAAGATCGGTGCCAGTAGCTAGGGACTAAATATCGCAGTCTTACATCAACAGCCTACGGAGCCCTGTGTGGTTTGTTAATGAATTCTGCGTCAGTATATGATTAAATATTTGGCATAATTTGTTCTGGTCTATTTCATTGTGTTGATCACGGGCCGGTGTTGCTATAGATATATATGTATATGTGTGTGTACCCATCGATTGATGTGGTACACAGTACGGTATATACCCATCATACACGTATCTCGGCCGAACACTCGGCTGAGATGCTTGGTGCAGATAAGGTTATGCCGTGATCTGTGGTTGTAAGACTCAGACCGGATGTGTGTTTGTGCCCGACATAATGTATGTTTTATCCATCATCTGTCACTCTAGTCCGATCGCCATCATTGCTCCCCAGCCTCAGAACCTCAAAAACATACCAGGTTGCCATGGCAACGGTTCCAAACTGGTCAATGACGCAATGTGTGGTAAATGTGAAATATGTATGGGGGTTTTCTGTGTTCTTATATCATGGCGGCTATGTTTAGCAAATCGAGAAGATTTACTAAATATAGCGTCTTAAAAGGATCTGGAGACATCATAATTTCTTAGCGGTAACTGTTGCATGGTTAAACAACGAGGCCAATTGTAATTCTCGAATCGGTCCAATACCTGACGTATCTGAGATCTGATATTCCAGTTCAACAGTTTCGAAATTTGAACAACAGTTGGATTTATGCTTATTTTCCATATTTTCACAATATTATTGACATGCATCTTCTGTAATACATAACAAAACGGATACAAAGTATCTGATCAGTAGGCTGATCATTTATAGCAATTTCGTCTCGTGTTTGAACCTTTCGAAAACAAAGTTTTTTTGTGTGGTACAGGACTGGTCTATCAATGTACTTTAAAATCCAAGAAATTTCAGATAATATGTTACCTCGACATATTACAGTCAACACTAAAATTCATAATTATATTTTTACGTGTTCTCTGATCGAGTGAGCCGAATCGCGTTAATGCATCTACATGAATATATAATGAGCCTTGGACAATTTTGATATTGGAGAAGTAACCGTAATGCTGCTTTAAATAATTAAATACTATAGACAATCAGCGGAAACCAGACTTAAAGGTCGTGCGTTTCCGGTACCACAAGTGGTTCCTGAAAAAAATTACCTACAATCTACATTTAGGCGTTTAGCCGCTGAGACTAGACTGAACAGAAACGTTTTCGGAAAGGCACACGAAAACAACGCAAACAACTCGTGTATTCAACATATGACCAGATACAAGGATCTGTGTCATTACATGTATTTTTAGGCTGGAGACAGGAGATAGTTATATCATTATAACATTATAGAGCGGTGGTAAGTGTAACAAACATAAATAATAACGTTGTTACATTATAGAGCGGTGGTGAGTGTAACCAACATAAATAATAACGTTGTTCCATTATAGAGCGGTGGTGAGTGTTACAAACATAGATAATGACGTTGTTACAGAATAGAGCGGTGGTGAGTGTAATACACATGAATGATAACGTTGTTACATTATAGAGATGTGGTGAGTGTAACACACATAAATAATGACGTTGTTACATTTTAGAGCTGTGGTGAGTGTAACAAACATAACTAATAACGTTGTTACATTATAAAGCGGTGGTGAGTGTAACAAACGTAAATAATGACGTTGTTACAGTATAGAGCGGTGTTGAGTATAACAAACATAAATAATAACGTTGTTACAGTATAGAGCGGTGGTGAGGGTAACAAACATAAATAATGACGTTGTTACAGTATAGAGCGGTGGTGAGGGTAACAAACATACATAATAACGTTGTTACATTATTTATGTTTGTTACACTCTCCACCGCTCTATAATGTAACACCGTCATCACGTATGTTTGTTACACTCCCCACCGCTCTATAATGTAACACCGTCATCACTTCTGTTTGTTACACTCACCACCGATCTATAATGTAACAACGTTATCATTTATGTTTGTTACCCTCACCTCCGCTCTATAATGTAACAACGTCATCACTTCGCTCTATAATGTAACAACGTTATCATGTAATGTAACAACGTTATCATTCATGTGTATTACACTCACCACCGCTCAGAGTTATCTTCTCTTGTGAACAGGTATTGATTGTTACGTCATTGGGTGTAACAAACATAAACAATGACGTTGTTACAGTATAGAGCGGTGGTGAGTGGAACAAACATAAACAATGACGTTGTTACAGTATAGAGCGGTGGAGAGAGTAACAAACATAAATAATAACGTTGTTACAGTATAGAGCGGTGTTGAGTATAACAAACATAAATAATAACGTTGTTACATTTTAGAGCGGTGGTGAGTGTAACCAACATAAATAATAACGTGGTTACATTATAGAGCGGTGGTGAGGATAACAAACATAAATAATGACGTTGTTGCATTATAGAGCGGTGGTGAGGATAACAAACATAAATAATGACGTTATCATTTATGTGTGTTACACTCACCCACTCACCACCGCTCTATAATGAAACAACGTTATTATTTATGTTTGTTACACTCACCACCGATCTATAATGTAACAACGTTATCATGTATGTGTGTTACCCTCCCCACCGCTCTATAATGTAACACCGTCATCACTTCTGTTTGTTACACTCACCACCGATCTATAATGTAACAACGTTATTAGTTATGTTTGTTACACTCACCACAGCTCTATAATGTAACAACGTTGTTATTTATGTTTGTTACACTTACCGGCGCTCTATAATGTTATAATGATATAACTATCTCCTGACCACCGCTCTATACTGTAACAACGTCATTGTTTATGTTTGTTACACTCACCACCGATCTATAATGTAACAACGTTATCATGTAATGTAACAACGTTATCATTCATGTGTATTACACTCACCACCGCTCTATGCTGTAACAACGTTATTATTTATGTTTGTTATACTCAACACCGCTCTATACTGTAACAACGTCATTATTTACGTTTGTTACACTCACCACCGCTATATAATGTAACAACGTCATTATCTATGTTTGTTACAATCACCACCGCTCTATAATGTAACACCGTCATCACTTCTGTTTGTTACACTCACCACCGATCTATAATGTAACAACGTTATCATTTATGTGTGATAAACTCACCACCGCTCTATAATGGAACAACGTTATTATTTATGTTTGTTACACTCTCCACCGCTCTATAATGTAACACCGTCATCACGTATGTTTGTTACACTCCCCACATCTCTATAATGTAACAACGTTATCATGTAATGTAACAACGTTATCATTTATGTGTGATAAACTCACCACCGCTCTATAATGAAACAACGTTATTATTTATGTTTGTTATACTCAACACCGCTCTATACTGTAACAACGTCATTGTTTATGTTTGTTACAACCAATGACGTAACAATCAATACCTGTTCACAAGAGAAGATAACTCTGAGCGGTGGTGAGTGTAATACACATGAATGATAACGTTGTTAACATTATAGAGCGGTGGTGAGAGTAACAAACATAAGTGATGACGGTGTGACATTATAGAGCGGTGGTGAGAGTAACAAACATAAGTGATGACGGTGTGACATTATAGAGCGGTGGTGAGGGTAACAAACATACATGATAACGTTGTTACATTATAGAGATGTGGGGAGTGTAACAAACATACGTGATGACGGTGTTACATTATAGAGCGGTGGTGAGTGTAATACACATGAATGATAACGTTGTTACATTATAGAGCGGTGGTGAGTGTATCAAACATAAATATTTACATTCTGTATGCTTAGACCCATTGACAAAAGTTACATTCATAAATGCATAACACGGGTGTTCATAGAATCTCAGCACGTGGGAACTGATAATAACCTGATCACACTGCGTAGTAATACACTACAAAAACTACTCACTCGGAACGACCGACCTAGATGCTTAATTCTTACATCTTAAAATATTATTGAACTGTGCTTTGTGAAATATCCACGTATTCACGTGTCCTGTGCTACAAATAAACATTGAATATGGAACTACATTTTGTTGTGTTATTGTTGTTGACGGTTGCTAAGATCTCTCACGATA